AGTGTTTAGCCGTGTTTATATATCAAATACGAATGTTCAGATGGATGGATGTTTGTTAGAAAGTATCTAAAGAACAGCACAACGGATCTCAATGAAATTTGGCACAGATGTAGAACACAGTCTGGATGAACGCATAGGCTGCTAAGTTTTTCAATCCTGTGCGGACGGAGTCGCATGTGAAAGTTAGTACACGACACAATGAACATTATATTTATAACGATAGTACAACAAAGCATTATGATTCTTTTAAAGTTACAAAAGTAGCTTAATATCTAAGATCTACTAACTATACTAACATTTCTGGGAGGTGAGTTTTTTTATTTATAATTAACAATCAAATAAGTACTACTTGGTTATTAAGTAGCAATTAAATTAATCTACTTCCAAACACTAATAAGTGGGAAATGCGTTTCGGTTGACTGAAGAGTTAATGTTATTCTGTTACGAATTAATTGAATTCGTTCGTGTTTTGTTTCAATTAATTCAAAACGTAAACGAGACTATACGGTCAAGTAACACAAATAAATGAAACAAATTTAATTTTTTCATCATTTTTTTAGGGTTCCATACCTCGCGAAGAAAAAACGGAACCCTTATAGGATCATTTTCTTGTCCATCTTTTAGTCTGTCAAGACCTTTTTTTATATCTTACTTTCAAAATGAAGAATTTTTATATTTAGGTGACATCATAGAATAATACATAACTAGTAGCCTGTGTTCTTACACACTATGTTCTATATGTATGCTAAATTTCATCGAGATCCGTTCAGCCGTTCTGCTGGTACCTTCAAACATCCACCCATCCATTCATCTAAACAATTTTAATATTAGTAAAGAGTAAGATAAGATGTGAGTGATTGGATGCATGGATGGATGTTTTATTCCCCTCGGTGGGGACGTATAATGAGCTGATGATGATGATGATGATAGAATAGTATATAATCTTTTGCCAAAATACCGCAAACTTATTTTGATGAGTTTTAATATAATTATCAAAGTATTTCAATAACATTTGTAAAACGTTTCGAGTCTCACAGAAAAACAATATAGTTTTTACGTCTGTGCAAAAATATGGCTTACGCAGACAATTTTCGTTGTAATTACGAGAATATTTATGAATGCCACAAATAACTTTGCGTTGGCTTAATCCAGTGATTCTCAAAGTATAAGCCAAAAACTGTCTAGCATTGCATCGATATTTATTAAATTAAATATTATTTTTTAATATAGTAATATGATATGATCCTTTTATAACAATACTAGCTACAAAAATAAATAATACGTAGCCTACGTGTTCTCCCAGACTATGTTCTATATGTATGCCAAATTTAATCGAGATCCATTCAGCCGTTCCGGAGATACCTTAAAAAATCCATCCATCTAAACATTAGCATTTATAATATTAGTAAGACAAAGACCTTACCGAAGTTTTGTAATTTATTTGGATGGTCAGAAATTATATGTTGCTTTATCTATATGTTACACAAGTCAAGTTAGTCATAACATAATTTTGTTATTATTACTTATGTGAACAGTTTGAGAACCAACGTTTGTTGGTGTCGTGTGACCACTCAAATAACTAAACCGTTTTCACACGGAAACAAGAGCTGTAATTGTTTGATTGTAGTGAATCGTTCATGCGATCCTGCCTTTTAATTACATTAAATAATAATAAAGAAAACATGTAACCAAAACTGTACCTAAAATAAACGCCTTTAAAACTTAATTGATCATTCTTGTAATTTCTAGTTAACTGTCTTTTAAATTTTTAAAACTGACATCTACATCAGAAAATATCGTCCAGTTCATCGACCACAAAGAAGACACTCGTCAAATGAAAATTAAGAAACCAAAGTCTACTCTTCTTCCCCTTCCCACCATTTTCTAATAAGAAAAGGATAGGAAGGAGATGTATAGATAGAGGAAGGGATACATAGAATGGGAACTATCTTTTTTTTTGCACATGGTATCCCTCGTACTTTAAAATATAGCCATTTTCAACCGACTAAATTATAGATATTTATGGGCTTCTTTTACCGTACTATAAAGACAAGATACCTTTTATAATTTATCGTATTATCGTACGAGCAATTAGAATCATGTATCGTGACGTAATTTCTCTCACAGCACTTACAATAGCTCACTATCTTATCTCAGTTAAAACAGTTAAGGAACGTTACATACCTATGGGAATTAGTGGATAAACGTTATCTATAACGTTAACTAAAATATAGCTAAATACCAACACGTTCATATATACTTGGAAAAAATTACGAATTAATAACGTACTCCTATAAATGAACTAGCGTAGGCGTAGTATTTTGTGCCTGTTTGATTTCAATGTTGGGTCGACGGACCTTACCCTTAGACAAAGTGCATTCGCATCGAAGCTATTCCATAACGAATTTGAAAAATGTATGGAACTGAAACTTGACAATTATATTACTTATCGAAGATTACTAATCTATACATTTCTTTCTCTATATCGATCTATCTTTAGTCATCTGAGTCGTCCATTCACCTACCTTAATTAAACTTATATAATATAATATACAAACTTAGTTGTCAATTAACTAACAGTTAAAGAAAATTGATAAAATACATTTATAATTAAAACAAGTTTATTTTTAATGTAATTGGAAAATATAATCCGACACTCACTGTACGCGGAGTGAAACCGTCGTGAAAGTTTTGTTTAGTTAATAAAATATGTGCCGTTAACGTGAATGTTGGCAAGTTATAAACAAACATAAGAAATATGTTGAGAAAAGAAAAAATATCAAAGACTATGAATTTGCACTACTTAGAAATATATACTAAATAAACTAAATTAGTCTATGCGTTATTCCAAACAATTCCATCTTATTACATCTATACCAAATTTCAGCGATTTCTATGCAGCTATTCTGGAGATACCTTTTAATAAACATCCATCCAAACATTCGCATTTTAAATAGTAAGAAGTAAGATAATATTGTAATCTTTATTTATTCAGAGATAATGTATGAAAACATGTTTTTGTATGAGTTTTTGGACAGTGAAAACTCAAGATTTCGCCCCCAACATTTCACACAAATAGCGTTTATTTTTTTAATATCATAAGGTAGCAAAGTAGGTTTGGCAAGCCTCCCGCAAGATGGTCCGATGACGTGGTCAAGGTTGCGGGAGCGTCCTGGATGCAGGTAGCACAGGACCAGTCATCGTGGCGATCTTTGGGAGAGGTCTATGCCCAGCAGTAGGCGACTTACGGCTGACAAAGAAGAAGAAGGTAGCAAAGAATAGAACGGCCACCAGAATTCGCCAAAATAGCGTATCGACATCCGCAATTGCTGTTACGTTGCCTACCTCTAACAGACGAAGGAAGCACAGAAAGTGAATATTTCCCTTACCTACGCATCCTCTATTATTGATACGATACCAAAGTATCCGTAATTTTCATAACAACGAAATATTTATGTCGTCATATCCGATAATATCGTATTACGACGGAAAATACGACTGAATCATAACTTTGCACTATAATATGTCACTAAACGATAGTGAACTTCGCCAATTTATAAACAGACCAGACACAGTTGAAGCATATAGAACACTAGCTGGTAACTTTGTCCGTGCAGAATTAAAAAAAAAAGTAGCCTATGTTCTTCCAAACTATGTTCTATATCTATGCCAAATTACATCAAGATCCGTTAAGCCGTCCTATAGTATGCTGCAATTTTCACGTTAAGCAGGTTATTCTAGTTTCTCACTTGCCAAATCATATATCAGGAATTAAAACAGCTTATTTACTATATAATATATTTCTCTTTTAAGAGCTACGTCGTTATTAATTTAAAATTCTATTATGCAGAGTTAATCATATTTTTAATAGTTTTTGAGGTTTTCTTTTTGTTTATGGTTGATATTGTTTTGTTTTCCTCTTCGTTCTATTTGTTTTCAGAATAGAGGATTTAATTTTCCTTATGTCATAAGAAAGATGTCAATTTTACTCCAATGAATTTGTAAACGGTAGATACATCCGTAATCCATTATACGAAGCCAAGTAAATCGGCTTACATAGAATTATTGGATTCGAACCCAAACATTTATATGATAACTAGAACCCAATACCCATAATTTAAAATACAAAATATTCAAATATTTTAATTATATACTCTTGGCTATAATTTTCTTTGAAAAAAGAGCGAATATGTTTTTAACATTAAATAGGACGCTACGAACGAAACCGTATGCTTAAAAAGATGTTCAGATATGACAGATAGAGATACTGAAAATTAACTAAGTGCTCGTAATGTCCGCTCTATAACTACATTTAAATCTCTGTCATATCTTTCGTCTCTCTTTTGTAACGAAATATGACCAAAAGTTACGCGTCCTTGAAATTTTACTTTCAATACTCATCCAATTATCAAATCGGTCTGAGGATTTTCACCTCAAATACGTTTATTTTGAGTAGTACCGCGTGTTAATTAGCAACAGTTCAAAACGGTTTTTAATGAATGAACAGGTATTTTTTGATGTTGCTATCTCCTTCTTTCTCAATTGGAATGTTCGTAATTCGAAAAAATTAAACGAAAGACGATATACAATTTGTTACCTAATAAGTTTGAAATTCGAATACCGACATTACAGAACTTATTCTGCGAACCCCTTCTCTTATTTATGAGAAACAAGAATTGTTTGATTGAGGAAAATAAGTTTTCCAATCTACCTTATTCACGATATAAACTAAAATGAAAGTCTATTTCTGTATTTACCTATTTTATTAGTGTCTTCTCGAATTGTGATAGATTGCCGTGTGTGCGAAATGAAATTAAGTTTTTTTTAGACTGACTTAAGTGTACTGAAGACGAATATTTTAAAAAGCCACAAAGGTCATTGCATTCAGGTCTTGGTAAGTACGTGGTACGACTGCCGACACTCATCTTATGCCGCCTCGGGCGTTTGAAGCAAAAAATAACCGTCGAAAATAACAAGTTAATAACCACAGCCTCACTTACCTTTGCGTGACTTCCAATACAGTTTCCTTACGTAGTAAGCGGCCGCGACCAGTAAAAGGGCTCCAAGGAAAGCACCGATAGCGGCTCCTGCGACGCTACCCGCACCAAAACACTCTGCTTGCGCTTGGCCCAAAACACAAGGCAGCAAGACGGTCACTAAGAGGAACCTCGTTAAAACACCCATTTTGTATTCTTACAATCTACTTCGCACAATATAACATCACTACGATTATGGCACAAAACGTTTATTCCGTTTAATTAATTCAGTTACATTCCTAATCTTTAAATAGTTCAAAATTTCAAATTGAATGTGATTAAAAGTTTTGACGTTTAACTTTTTTAAAAGCAAAAAGCGCGCGCAAGCACAGACGTGCACCGCGTCAGCCAGCGCGGTCGACTGTGGCTGTGTGTTGTCTATGGCTTGTTCGTACGTAGCTTTGAGTCGTGAATAGCCTGCGCTTGTGGGACAGTCGGAACGTGTGTAGAGAACGTGTTTGGGCACCGGTGAAACTTGCACTACAACGGCAATATCACCCTAAAAAATTATAACCAAAAGTCATTATTATACACAAAGACATGCCCCGTATTTGATTTTTTGTCTACATCATCAAATATTATACAAATTTACTGGACTAGAATATGGGGGTCAAGCGCTTTCAGCACCCAGTGGCTCTTGCTGTTCTTACTCCTTACAAAATCACTGGTCTATCTAGAAGGATGGTCTATCTTTTCGTCTTGTTCTAAGATTTTCCTCTTTCATTAGCCGTCGTTAGCTCAACGTATGTGACCTATTACCTATTTACTGACTAAAAGTACCATATTTATTTTAAAATATAGAACATAAAATATATGTGATTATTTCATAAAGCATGCCACGATAACGTACATCCACACCTGCAGTGCTACGCGCAGGTACTGACGCACACATTGCCATGCATAATTTATATTCACACACTGCAACAAGCAAACGTCTTTTTAAGATTGTGTTGTACTGTTTTAAACCTTATGCTCCGTTTGTTATGATACCAATGATTTTGTTACGCAAGATGTTTAAATTCACTTCAATACCAAATGCCAGACTTTATTGTTCAGGAAACAATTAAGAAATTTTTAAATGAGAATATGAAGATTTTATCTATATACTACAAACGGTCAGCAAGTATACAAACATAATAAGGTAAATAGCCAGATAATAACGTACCTACTCAACTCTTGAAAAAGAAAATATGCATTTTATATAACAATTTTTAAATAGAAATCAGTGTTTTATATAAATATTATAATAATAACAATTATCATAGTAATTGTATTGTGTGTTTGTGTTCAATATGAAAAATATTTTAATCGTTCTTAATTACTTTTATAATTTAGAAACAACGTCAAGAAGTAGTTTATTATGTCTATTTCATGTTAAATACTTGATCAAAATTCGTTTCAAATTAAGTATATATTTAGGAATAAAAATTAAAAAGTAGATAATAATTTCTGTATGTCTCATTGTATATTTGATGGCAAAACAAAAAAACAAGTTACTTCTACTTAAATCCAAAGTTAATACGTGATAAACGAAGGTTTAAGAACAGAATGAAGGCTTTTGAAGTTTTAATCTACATTTCGTTCATGATACGTGGTAGTATATTCTGTCGATTCTCACGAGTCGAAAGTAGTTTCATAAACATGTTTTTATATTTATTTTATAGTACATCTTGCACATTACGACTCAGGTGCTAATGTAAACGACGTCTGTAGACTTTACACATTTCACTTTTACAGAGAAAGTAATCATTACACGTAGGGTGACCATAAATTCGAAAATAACGTAAATGAACTTATATTCATCCCACTTTATTTAGGTATATTAAACTCTTCCTTTGATGTCATCTGTCGTCTCTCCTATGCTAGTCTTTTGTTGATTCATATGTCTCTAGTTTGACGTAATTATTATGGAACGAAATTAATAATTTTAGGTCGCATAAAACGTCTAAAATTTAACTTCATTTGCTTAATTCACATTCGATTCTATTGATACAGTTTTAAATAAAATAATTTCGTGAATCTCGAGATGTTTTTAGAATATTTTAAGCGATTAACGCCAAGGGTTAAATGTCAAAGTTGTTTTATGGTTTTCTTATACAGTCGAACATATTGATGTTTTCTTTATTTAAATTATCCAGAAACTGACCGATTTGAAATTGCAATTAGCATATCAAATTCTTTAAAATATCAAGCTAACGGCAAAGGTTAAATCGTCCAATACAAGTTTATAATTCATGCTTTCTATTTTTGTCTATAGGTTTCTGTTAAGTTTTGAATATTATGAAACGTTCGATAGAGAAAAATATCGATAACTAATTGTCACCCATGGCTCCAATCCGAGCGGAATAAAAAAAACTTTACTATGCCCCTGTATTTTCGACTATATTCTATCTCTATGCTAAATTTCAGCTAGTTTTGTTTAGTCATTCTGGAGATACGTAACGCCAAACATCCGTCCGTGCATCTAAACTTTTACATTTATTTATTTTTAACATTAGTACGATTTCACTTCATTAAAATCCTTCGTGCAATCAAAACTACCATATCGAAAAACAGATTATATATATTTTTGCCCATTATTTTACTTATAAGTTGTGTGGACGCAAAGTGCAACTTTCTAAGGTTTTTCTTTATGAATATAAGCTAAAATATCTACTTGCATATAAAATACATAAAAGAAATAAAATTACATGACAGCTACATTAAAAAGAGAATCTTTTGACATTGACAGGAGAGCGCTAGTGAGCTGTTACAATAACTTAAGCCAACGGTTAAGATAGCTTCGTAGAGCTTGTCGGCCATTATGTGGGCCACGGGCCGATTTTTAGACCAAATTTAATAGGCCACATCTGTCAATTTTAGCTTCTTAGTGAGGTGAGCTGCTTAAAAATATCGATTAAAGTGATTGAATCGATTGGTACTCCAGATATATCTTAATTGAATTAACTTGTTATGAAATATTGATGTATTTCATTCGATTTCTTCGTAAAATCCTTAGTGTTGAACATGAAGTGTGAAATGAAACTTATAATAGGACCCATTTATACGGATAGTTTTTTAAAGTATCACCGACGCACAGCCCTAGTTGAAAAATTGTAAAATTACCATCCCTGCCCGTCATAGTCTATGGTTTTTGACTTTGTCATTACATTTTGTCATCACGACATTTTCTGTAGATTTGCAATTTGTATTTCAAGAATATTCAAAACAACGTGGTATTAAAGTTATTTTTATATTCTTCTATTAAAAAGATATAAATTCATTATTAAAATGCCTAAGCCTGTTAAATTACATAGTAAAGGTAAACCTAATAGTATACAAAAAGCAAACAAATTAGATAAAGACAATGACAACAAGGATCCTGAGGAAGCGACGAGGGAGTTTCAACTTCAATTATGCTGGTGTATACAACAGCTTGAAAGATCGTTACATGAGAAAAAAGGCAACGAGAAACAGTGTAAGTATTTTAAAAGTTCTTTCCATGCGTAGCGAATCAAAGTGGGTCTTGGTCTGTCACAAGAGATCGGCAACACCATCTGTTCTGTTCCATCTCTTGCCAGTTGACTGCTTGGAGATGTTCTAGACTGTACCTTACCTTAAAATTGTTAAGATAACCTTAATATATCAATCAATAAACTCATTAAATATGTTCTTTTCTGAAATGTATGTTAAAAACATAAAATGTTACCTAAAACGGCGCAGTTCATAAAATATATGTTTTTTTGTATTGTGGTGGCAAACAAACAAGCAGCCACCAGAGTTCACCCGAATAGTGAAGCAACTGCTGCATATACATATTATTTTCAATTGCAGATGAGAAGAGAAAAAAATGAATGAGAATCTTTCCCCTTCCTATGAGTCTCTTCCGCCAAATTAACTTTTTATTCTCCATCTTTCCTTTTACGACATGGGTGGGAATGGAATGTGTCACTAAGTGAAGGATAAAATTAATGCAATCCCTTTTTTTTTCCAGTACAAGAAGCATGGAAGGTGTTAACAATTCTAAAAAATAACAATCAACCTATTATAAGGAAGAGACAATTAATGCGAACTCATTTCGGTGACTATAGAGCTAAAATGGCAGCCGAAGAGAAGAAATTAATAAAAAGTATGTCCAGTACATTACAATGTAGCACAAATGACAGTTCATTAAATAGATAATAAATAATACAATAATAGATAAAGAAATTCTACAAAATGATAGCAATAGGTGATTACATTTTTATTTACTAAATTATTATAACACTAGCTGAAACTGGTCTGTGTAGCGTTGTCACTTAAGGTAAAAAAAAATTAAAACACTTTATTAAATGTTTGTGTTTGATGAAATTTCATATTTAGATTTGTCTTTTAAATTTGAAGGTT